GAGACCAAGGATCGTGAAGACATTGTGAGCAAAGAGGCCACTGTGGAAATGGATTCTCTGGTCCAGCCACTCCAAGCTGACAGCATGTGGATCCAAGATGAACCACCCAGGCAAGCCCATCCGAAACTCCTGACCTAAAAATTATGAGCCAAGCAAGAATGATTTTTTTTTTTTTTTTTTTTAGATGGAGTCTCATTCTGTCGCCCAGGCTGGAGTGCAGTGGTGCTATCTGGACTCACTGCAACCTCTGCCTCCCAGGTTCAAACAATTATCCTACCTCAGCCTTCTGAGTAGCTGGGACTATAGGCACCTATAATTTGTGAATTTTTAGTAGAGACGGAGTTTCACGTTGTAGGACAGGTCTTGAACTCCTAACCTCAAGTGATCTACCTGCCTCAGCCTCCCTAAGTGCTGGGATTACAGATGTGAGTCACTGCACCCAGCCACAAATGGTGATTTTAAAGCACTAAGCTTTATAATAGTTTGTTATACAGCAACAGCTAACCAGAATATCAGGCAAGAAGTGAATGCTTAAAGCTAAGCAGAAAAGAAGTTATAAGCAATCAAAAGAGCATCATATGAGGCAGGTCGTGGTGGCTCAAGCCTATAATCCCAGCACTTTGAGAGGTCAAGGCAGGCAGATCACGAGGTTAGGAGATCAAGACCATCCTGGCCAGCATGATGAAACCCTGTCCCTACTAAAATACAAAAAAAAATTAACCAGGCATGGTGGTACATGCCTGTAGTCCCAGCTACTAAGGAGGCTAAGGCAGGGGAATGAGTTGAACCCAGAAGATGGAGGTTACAGTGAGCCGAGATCACGCCACTGCGCTCCAGCCTGGTGATAGAGCAAGACTCCATCTCAAAAAGGCTCGCACCTGTAATCCCAGCACTTTGGGAGGCCGAGGTGGGAGGATCACCTGAGGTAAGGAGTTCGAGACCAGCCTGACCAACATGGAGAAACCCCATCCCTACTAAATATACAAAAAAATTAGCTGGGCATGGTGGTGCATGCCTGTAATCCCAGCTATTCGGGAGGCTGAGGCAGGAGAATCACTTGAATCCACGAGGTGGAGGTTGCAGTGTGCCAAGATTACACCATTGCACTCCAGCCTGGGCAACAAGAGCAAAACTCTGTCTCAAAAAAAAAAAGAAAAGAAAAGAATGTCACATGATAGTATACAATGGAACAGAATTGCCAAATAAGCATGAAAACAAGTAAAGATCTAGAACGTTTATTTTAAAATGTAGGTTATTAATGCAACAACTTTGTTATAGGAAAAATGAGGAGGGAAGAGTTTTAGGGGAAGACAATATATGCACATAGGGAAGAAACCAAACACTGATACCACATTACACTTCATCTGCCATTTTAAACTTGGGGTTTAAAATAAACAGGCTGGGCATAGTGGCTTATGCCTGTAATCCCAGCACTTTGGGAGGCCGAGGCCGGCAGATCACCTGAGGTCAGGAGTTTGAGACCAGCCTGGCCCATATGGTGAAACCTTGTCTCTACTAAAAATATAAAAATTAGCCAGCCACGGTGGTATGTGCCTGTAGTCCTAGCTACTCGGGAGGATGAGGCAGGAGAATCCTTTGAACCCAGGAGGTGGAGGGTGCAGTGAGCTGAGATCACGCCACTGCACTCTAGCCTAGGCAACAGAGAAAGACTCCGTCTAAAAATAAATAAATAAAATTAAATAAACAAACTTAAAATATGGTGAGAGTTGTTAAAAGATAGAATAGGTTATTAAAGGAAACCAAAGGTTTGTGCTGTGGTTTGAATGTGTCCCCCAAAGTTCACATGTTGGAACTTAATCCCCATATAAAACAGTGTTGAGAAGTGGGATCTTTTAAAAGGTGAATATGTCATGAGGGCTCTGTCCTCATGAATGTATTAATGCTGGTTTCAAGGGAGTGGGTTAGTTATTGCAGGGCGGGTTCTTGATAAAAGGATATGTTTAGCCACTCTCTCTTGTTTTAAAACAATAGAGACAGGGTCTCATTATGTGTTGCCCAGGCTGGTCTTAAACTCTCAAGCTCAAGTGATCCTCCTGTCTCAACCTCTCAAAGTGCTAGGATTACAGGCATGAGCCATCATGCCCAGCGTGGCCACTTTCTTTCTTTTCTTCCTTTTTTTTTTTTAACTGTCTTATCATTTATTAACTGTTTTTGTATACAATGTTATTAATATACAGCATACATGACAAGCCATATATCAAAATAGTACAATAACATAATAATTTTAGCATTCTCTTATCTCACCACCAACAGGTATTAAGCCCATCCTTACTAATTTATACTCCTCGCTTGAAAAAGGATGATCATATACTGGAAAAAACTAGACCAATGTATTTCTTCAATGAGGCTTTTGAGAGAAACAGAGCCCTCATCTACTACCCGCCAGGATCCACCTCTCTCTGCTTCTCGCTTCTCCAGGCTTCCCTATCTTTTGCTGTACGAAATGCTTTTTGGTAGGTTGAAGAAAACAGTTATTTAGCTCAGGCAGTTGAGATAAATGTCCAAAGATAGGGTAAAATTAACTAAACTTTATTTGTCCACCCTTATTCATGGGACCATGGTTTCTTCCTGTCCAGGCCACTTTCCTTTTGCTCTCTCATACATGCTCTTGTGTCCTTCCACCCTTTTACCTTGGGATGATGCAGCAAAAAAGGCCCTTGACAGATGCAGGCCACTCAACCTTGAACTTCCCAGTGTCCTAAACTAGAAGAACTAGATCTCTTTTCTTTGTACACAAATTATTCAGTTTCAGGTATTCTGTTATAGCAACACAAAACAGACTAAGACAAGCATCTTCTTGAAATATGTGAGAAAAGATCTGTATCTACTTACGAAAAGATGTAATTCTGTTCAACTCTAAGGGACTTTCTTCTAGGAAGACTCTATCATTTTATGACCTAATGACTGTTCCCACTACTATTACCAAAAGTGCTCATGACCATGATAATTACTAAATAACTACCTGCTGTTTACCACCATGGTGGTGGATACATTACCAACATCACTTAACTTTTGTGGCAATCCTGCCAATTAAGTATTTTCATCCTCATTTTAAAAGTTCCAAAATGATGGTCAGAAAAATGAAGTAATATAGTCCCAAGGTTACTATGCTATAATACAGAATATAATTGGTCTTTGCCCACCATTCCTGGCACAGAGTTTCGAAAATCCTTGCAATTTCCTGAGTGCCAGGAGTGTCTTTGTTGAGCTAATGAGGTGACGCATAGTGGCTTCACAGCTAGCTTTGGGCTGCAGACTATCACCAGCAAGATCAAGCATGTGATTAAGAGTTGTAACTCTGAGACTCCTTCTGCATTTCTGTAGTCTTGAGCCCTTTTCTAAATCCCTCACAGAATGCTTAACCTTGAAAACAATTTTCAGTAATCGTTAAAGGCAGATATAGGAGCATGGCTCCAGCATAAAACCTTAAAAATCTATCTTTAACTTCTAGTATGGTGAAGAGTCTCTGGGTTTTGTTTCCTTTAAGCTTCAGAGAAACCGCAAGACACAAATTCTGAAAATACTTTTGTGGTCAAAAGTGTATGCTGACCAGGCGCAGTGGCTCATGCTTATAATCCCAGCACTTTGGGAGTCTGAGGTGGGCAGCTCACCTGAGGTCAGGAGTTCGAGGCTGCAAAGAGCTATGATTGCACCACTACACTCCGGCCTGAGTGACAGAACAAAACCCTGTCTCTATTAAAAAAGAAAGAGAGGCCAGGCGTGGTGGCTTACACCTGTACTTCTCAGCACTTTAGGAGGCCAAGGTGGGTGGATCACCTGAGGTCAGAAGTTTGAGACCAGCCTGACCAACATGGCAAAACCCCATCTCTACTAAAAATACAAAAAAATAGCCAGGCATGGTGGCAGCACCTGTAATCCTAGCTACTTGGGAGGCTGAGGTAGGAGAATCACTTGAATCCAGGAGGCAGAGGTTGTGGTAAGCCAAGATCGTGCCACTGCATGCCAGCCTGGGCGAGAGAGTAAGACCCAACTCAAAAAAAAAAAAAAAAAAAAAAAAAAAACGTGTATGCTGCAACTATTCTCAGCCAAAAAGAGTTTTCTTTCTTTCTTTCTTTTTTTTTTTTTGAGATGGAGTCTTGCTTTGTCACCTAGGCTGGAGTGCAATGGCACAATCTTGGCTTACTGCAACCTCCACCTCCTGGGTTCAGGCAATTCTCCTGCCTCAGCCTCCCAAGTAGCTGGGATTACAGGCATGTGCCACCACGCCCGGCTACTTTTTGTACTTTTAGTAGAGACAGGGTTTCACCATATTGGCCAGGCTAGTCTCAAACTTCTGACCTCTAGTGATCCACCCACCTCAGCTTCCCAGTGTTTAGATTACAGGCGTGAGCCACTGCGCCCAGTCCAAAAAGAGTTTTCTAAGTACCAACACAGAAAAGCAATCTCATGGGATCCAAGTAGTAATACTATGCTTTTTACCATAGCTTATGCAAAACTTTTTTTTTTTTTTTTTTAATTTTTAATTTTTTTAGAAGGAGTCTCACTCTATTGCCCAGGATGGAGTGCAGTGGCATGATCTCGGCTCACTGCAACTTCTGCCTCCTGGGTATTCTCTGCCTCAGCCTCCTGAGTAGCTAGGATTACAGGTACCTGCCACCACGCCTGCCTACTTTTTTGTATTTTTTAGTAGAGACGGGGTTTCACCATCTTGGCTAGGCTGGTCTTGAACTCCTGACCATGTGATCTGCCGGCCTCAGCCTCCCAAAGTGCTGGGATTACAGCTGTGAGCTACCATGCCCGGTCCTATGCAAAAGCTTTCTAAGTGTTTATTTCAACCTATAAAGTTTCCTTTCAGAGAACCAAAAAGGGATTGCTCAAATTTAATCTTCCTTTCCTAGGATGCATGTGAATTATATTGTTTATAAATGCTCAAAGTTTTTATTTTTAATTATCTGAATCTCTTATATGGAAATGCTGCAAGTTTCTAGATTCATCTGTGTTATATTTTTATTTCTTACCTGGCCTGTTAGTGGCTGCCATAATAAAAACCTGCTGGCGTGTTTCCAGACCATCCATCTCTGTAAGTAGCTGATTCACCACTCGGACACTTGCCCCTGTCTAAAAAGAAATATATCTGGTTCCATCAGCTCTCAATACAAAGAAAAAAAAAAAAAAAAAATTTTCTTCCCCATAAAAATAATACATTTGCCAACTCAAAAGAGATAACAATGATTATTTTCTGAGGAGTCACTATATGCAGACACCATGCAAAATGTGTTCTCATGTGGACCTTCCCAGAAATCCTATTATTATCCACAGTCTAAATGAGGAAACTGAGGCTTAGAGGGGTTATTGTTCAAGTTCTCACCACTAGAAAAAGGAAGAGATGAAACTCAACATCAGGCCAAGTGGATCCCAAGGTCTGATGTTTTTGAGTTACTCAAAGATCTAGCTGTCACAATAAACTTCCTTTGGGGCAAATCTACAGCTAGCTTTTGTTTTTTTTTTGGTAGAGACAGGGTCTTGTTATGCTGCCCAGGCTGGTCTTGAACTCCTGGCCTCAAGCAATCCTCCTGCCTCAGCAGCCCAAAGTGCTAGGATTATAGGTGTGAGCCACTGCACCCCACCTACACTAAGCTTTTGAACCCCAAATTTCCTAGTATATCACGTATTCTAGATCTCACTTTATTTTATTTTTAAAGCCAGTCAAATTTAACAGTGGGGGTTTGTATACCAACTTTGGCGAGACTTTTTTTTTTTTTTTTTGAGGCAGGGTTTTACTGTGTAGCCCAGGCTGGAATGCAGTGGTATGATCTCAGCCCACTACAGCATTGACCTCCTGGGCTCAAGCAATTCTCCCACCTCAGCCTCCTGAGTAGGCTGGGACTACTGGTACATGCCACCATGCTCGGCTAATTTTCATATTTTTTCTAGAGATCCTCTTACTATATTGCCCAGGCTAGTCTTAAACTCCTGAGCTCAAGCAATCCTTCTGCCTCAGCCTCCCAAAGTGCTGGGATTACAGGCTTGTGCCACCACACCTGGACGACACTAATGTTAATAAGTTCTGATAAGCCACCACCATCAGACCAGCCAGGTGTTCTAGATCTTTTTAGTGCACTACATACAGAAGTATCTGGAACACTGAGGCATTTTCTCTTTTCCTTGAAGCAAATAATACCAAGTACAGCTACCTCAGCAATATCGAAGGGAAAGGATAAACCACTCAGATATAGAAACAATAACGTTTTAAATGAAGAAAATGAGAAAAGTGGTGTTGTGTTTTTGGTCATTAATTGCTTTTCTTCAGCATAAGTTTTATGTACAGAGGTTACAATGGGCTTACCTCATTGATTTCCTTTTCTTTCTTTTCTTTTCTTTTCTTTTTTTTTTTTTTTTTTTTACACAATGGTCTCGTTCTGTTACCCAGGCTGGAAGTGCAGTGGTGAGATCTTGGCTCACTGCAACCTCTACCTCCCAGGCTCAAACAATCCTACTTCCTCAGTCTCCAAAGTGGCTGGGACTACAGGTATGGGCCAGCACACCTGGCTAATTTTTGTATCATTATTATTATTATTTTTTTTTTGGTAGAGACAGGGTTTCACCATGTTACTCACTGGTCTTGAACTCCTGGACTCAAGCAATCCGCCCACATTGGCTGCCCAAACTGCTGGGATTATAGGTATTAGCTACCATGCCCAGCTTACTCTACTGATTTCTCCAGATAAAAAATATTTGGTGTCCCTTATTATCACTCCTTGGGAACATAATACTAACAGAATTGTAATCCATACTCAAAAATATAATTTCAAATTACTGAAGACAGTCAACCTCATGGTAATCAGGGATATGTATATTAAAATGTAATATGATTTGCTAATAAAACTGACAAAAAATAAAAAGATGGGTAAAATCCATTGTTGATAGGAAATGGTTATTTTCACAAATTGTTGGTGGGCACATGTAACTGATAGTTTTTGTGAAGGATGATATAGCATTATCTTTCAAAATCTAATATATATCAATCTTCAATCCTGGTTTCCACTTCCAAAATTATATCTCACATAGTCCCACCACAGGTGCATACAAATACGTGATACAAGATCAGTTGAGTTCTGTTTGTAAGAGAAACAACTGGAAACAATCTAAACATCCAAAACAGGAGAATTACTAAGTAAACTCTGCTGTATCCAGACTGAGGATTATACAATATATTGTTTTAAGTTATTACATACATGAGAAAGTCATCAAGACAGAATGACTACATTTTTATAAAAAAACAAAAGCCTAGGTCCAGGCGTGGTGCAATCCCAGCACTTTAGGAGGCTGAGGCAGGTGGATCAATTGAGGACAGACGTTCAAGACAAGCCTGGGCAACAAAGTAAGATCCCGTCTCTAAAAACAAAAACTTAGCTAGGTGTGGTGATAACACACCTGCACTCCTAGCTACTCAGGCAGCTGAGGAGGGATCACTGCTTGAGCCCAGGAGCTCAAGGCATCAGGCAGTGAGCTACAATCACACCACTGCACTCCAGCCTGGGTGACGGGGTAAGATCCTGTCTCAAACAACAGCAGCAACAACAAAACAGAAGTGTAAACTATACATGTTTTTATGTTCGTGGAATAAGTTCTAGAATGATACATACTAAATGATAAACTATCGGCAGTCTCATAATAACCTCCAAGAAGAGTAATATGGACGAGATTGCAAAGAAATTTACTCTCTTTATATATGTGCTTTATTTGAATTTTTCACAAGCATGTATTCATGTATAACTAGTGTAATTAAAACAGAATACATTCATATTTAAAATGTTTTTAGAGGCGAGGTGTGGTGGCTCATGCCTGTAATCCTAGCACTTTGGAAGGCTGAGGCAGGAGGATCACCTGAGGTTAGAAGTTCAAGACTAGCCTTTCCAACATGGTTGACACCCTGTCTCTACTAAAAAAAGATACAAAAAATCAGCTGGGTGTGGTGACGCGAGCCTGTAGTCCCAGCTACTCAAGGGGCTGAGGCATGAGAATTGCTTGAACCCAGAGGCAGAGGCTGTAGAGAACAGAGATCACGCCACTGCACTCCAGCCTGGGTGACAGAGTGAGACTATTTCAAAAATAAACAAATAAATAAATAAAAACAAATGTAAATAAAATTTAGAATTTGCTTTAGGTCCCCTCGAGCTTTGCCTGCCCTGAGCTCCTCTGCTTCTGGTGGCCAGAACGGAGGGGTAGAACAGTACTCGGCGGCCCAGGGGACGGGCAGCGGGTGGCCGTGCCTGTCCCAGGGCCGGCGAGGTACAGGCAAAAAAAAAAAAAAAGAATCTGCTTTAGGTGAAAATGTTATTAAACCAAACCATAGCCGGGCAGAGTGGCTCACGCCTGTAATCCCAGAACTTTGGGAGGCCGAGGTGGATGGATCACCTGAGGTCAGGAGTTCGAGATCAGCCTAGCCAACATGGTGAAGCCCCATCTCTACTAAAATACAAAATTAGCCAGGTGTGGTGGCAAACGCCTGTAGTCCCACATACTTGGAAGACTGAGACAGGAGAATCATTTGAACCTAGGAGGCAGAGCAAGACTCTGTCTCAAGAAAGAAAAAGAAAAAGAAAAGAAAAGAAAACCATATATATCAGAGTATAGAAATGTATGGCAATAGGGTGGGCATGACAGCTCAAGCGTGTAATCCCAGCACTTTGGGAGGCCAAGGCCAGTGGATCACATGAGACCAGGAGTTCAAGACTAGCCTGGCAACATGGTGAAACCCCATTTGTACTGAAAATACAAATATTAGCCGGGCGTGGTGACAGGAGCCTGTAATCTCAGCTACTCAAGAGGCTGAGGCAGGAAAATTGCTTGAACCTGGGGGGCAGAGGTTGCAGTGAGCTGAGATAGCACCACTGCACTCTAGCCTGGATGACAGAGCAAGATTCTGTCTCAATTAAAAAAAAAAAAAAAGGTATGACGGCTGACATCCAAGAAACAGATAAGGCTGCTCTGCCTATGGAGCAGCCATTCTTTATTCCTTAAAAAAGAAAAAAAAAAAAAAAAGAGGGAGAGATAAACCAGAAGTGAGACATGTACTTCATACGGCTATAAACTTCTTTGAGGGCAACAGTTGACAATGAACCTCTCCAAATTTAGATTTACCAGCTGACAGTAGAGAGCTGCAAACCAATGAAGGGGCTGTGGACAAATAAAGGGTTTATTCATGGCAGAAGAGACAGGAATAAAAAGGAAAGGAATAAAATCCAGAGCATGTTGTGCCCTAAACAGATATCAAAGTGCCGTGTTCTGCTCTACAGCCCACAGTAGACTTTGGAATATGACTGGGGAACCTGGGAAGGGTCTGTGACTCAGTCACTGACATCACTATCAAAGATAAGCCTATAATAAGAATTTTCTGTGATGGTATCAATAACTACTGGACGAGGAAACAAAACCACAATAATGCGAGGCACATTTATTTATTTATTTATGTCAGTCAGCTTTTGTTTTTGTGACTTTTGAATATTTTTGGAGATTTTTAGCAAAATGAGGCAGGTAATAAATGTTTTAAGACCTAAGAAAACACACGCACGCACGCGTGCGCACACACACACACCTATTTGAAAGTAAATCACAAAAGATTTATTTCCTAGGTTTCAGAAAGGTAACCACTCTCTCAGTCATCTTACAAGAAATGTACTTATAAAACAATAGTTGCTGCCTCCTTCAAAAAGGTTTATACACACACACACACACACACACACACACACACACAGAGAGTTTATGTTATGTTTCACTAAGCTTCAAATTCTTATATAATGGAACTCCTAATAACAACTGTTTCTGGTACTCTGTACTGAAATCTCTAAGGACTGTGACTCAGTGTGGCTGACTCAAGTGGTATTCAAGGCAGATCAATTTTATATCTTAATGGGTGTTGGCTCTTTTTTTTATCTCCTTCATTTTAATGTCCTCACTTTAACAGAAAAGGTATTGGGTCTTAACGTTAATAACCTGGCCCTATTTTGAGTGCACGATGTCTTAAATTGTATTTTTTCTTGTCTCACGAACCCATTTAACTCAAGAATATTGTAGGATTACAAGATTATAAATACGGCAAGCTATTTAAAACTAATCATTTCCATACTCACCTACTCATTTGTGTAAATTAGGATGACCTACAGATTGTGCAACCAAAATAATATACAGGGAAAAAATGGATGCAGAGGCAGATACAGAATACAACTGCTATTTCTAAGCTGTGATTTCAAATTACCAGGTGTCTTCATTAAGCGTCTCAGTGTTCCCAAGGGATGCAAGAAATACCTGGCTTGGAACTTAGAAAAGGTTTATTGTGCTAAAAGAATCTGTAAACCACTAATCCATGATACTTACCTCTCGATCTGATCTTCGAGGACATAAAGCATCCACTTCATCAAAGAATATTACACAGGGTGCTGAGTTCTTGGCTCGTTGAAAAATTTGTCGCACAGCACGTTCACTCTCACCAACGTACTAAACATACATAGGAAGTACATAAAATGTCAACACTTCAAAATTTGGGGTTTGGGTCAAATGATAGTAAAACTAGTTTTAAGTGACATAAAATTAGTTTTCTGTGTTAAAGTCCAAAAAGTATCAGTATAAACTATATAGAATTGCTGATATTTAACCATTTTTGACCTGTAATAGCCAACTGCATATAGTTCAACTTAATAAAATTGGCTACTATTTAAGCCAATTTCCTTATTCATAAATTTCCTTATTCATAAAATAAAGACTTAAGTGAAATGTAAGGTCTTCTCTAGCTAAAAAAAAAAAAATCACCAAATTTTAAGTGTATTTTAGAACTAAGCTTTTGGCTTGGTTTTGTTTTTCTTTTTTTTTTTTTTTTTTGCCAGAGTTCTTTTGGCTATAGAACTAACCTTGTAAGCCTTGTGCATATAAAATATCCAGCAGTAATTTTCATTATTCAACAGTATTTTACATGCACACAAGTCAAATTACTGTTTTGTTGTTATTTCTACACAAGTCATCTTACTAAATAAAGGATGAGCTATTTTGTCATACAGCATCAGAGGAGGCAAAGTGAGCCAACTAGGCATTTAACAGGTTTCATAATGGCTTACTCTATGTTGAAATCTAAATAAATATAAAACATTAAGATCAGTCAAGAAATATAGCAATTCAAAAGCAACTATAACATTAGGACTAAGTAAGTAAGTAAGCCTCCAGAGTAGCTGGGATTACAGGCGTGCCATAACTACCACCTGGCTAATTTTTGCATTTTTAGTAGAGACGGGGTTTCTTCTTGTTGGTCAGGCTGGTCTCTAACTCCTGACCTCAAATAATCCACACCCCTCAGGCTCCCAAAGTGCTGGGATTACAGGCATGAACCACCGTGCCTGGCCTACAGTGCCAACTATTTCATACCACCTATCCTATTTAATGAGTATATGGCCACAACAAATAATCAAGGCAAAAAATAACACACCACAGATGATAGTGATTAAAGTGTTATTTTTTCATTTGACTAGAACTTACCTTCTCTCACATCCTTTTGGCACTTTTCTTTGAACTTTTGCTCATTCTGCTTCCCTTACTTGAACTGCTTTCCAACCTACCTCCAAACATTTCTTCTTGCATTCTGAAAGATCCTCATTAATCATTCTAACCATTACTCTCTGCTTTGCTTTTAAAGTACTCTGTACTATAATAACATTTGAGCTCTTCTACTTCACTATATTATGTTACAAAGCCCTTGGAAAGCAGAAGTCCTATTCAGATTTTTATCTCATAACATCCTGCACAGTGTACAAATATAGCACACAGTACACAAATATAATAAACAGTGTAAAAATATAGTAGGCTTTCCTGGAAAATCTAATTCAACAAAAACTAAATTTGTGATGCTGAAGCAAAATATTCAGTACTCTTGTAAAAGGAAGGATATCGGGGGCTGGGAGACATTAAGTTTCAGATAGGAACAGCAGAGAACAATCAATACCGTTGGCAAAGTGACTTTGGAAATGGCAAACCAAGGCAGCTAGGTAAAAGGAAATTTAATTTAGAGAAAGGCAAACCTAAAGTTTCAACAAGGACAGATTAAAACCTATTTAATCTTAACAAGGCAACAATGATTAAACATAAGTAAATAAAAGAAAAGCCTAACTTGGCCTTTACTTGAAACATACAAAATTTCTCATAAAGATCCTATATTATCTCAAAATCTTTACTGGCCATCAAATTTTCAATCATTTTAGTCTGGTTTTTGCAAACATCATTATTAAACTTATTTTCCCTACAACCACCAATGACCTTCTAATTACCAAATCCCAAGTCCCACTCTCAATCTTTTATACTGGTCACACTGACAAGGTTGAAAAACTCATCTTCCCTTGGTTTTCAGGCTTAGAAAGTCCAGGGTGTCCTCCATCTAATGACCAATCACTTTCAGTCTCCTTTGCTAGATCTTGCTTCTTTATCCCTTGTTGGAATCTTCCAGGGTTCTGTCAGAGGCCCTTAATGTAATTGTTCTTTTACTTAATAAACTTATCCTACCAGACTGAACCCATTCCCATGGTTTTAGGTACCACTTAGATGATACTGACTTCCAAATCTCTTCAGAGCTTCAGATTCACATTTCCTTTTGCCTGCTGGACATCTCCAGATGGCTGTTTAATCTAAAATGTCCTAGAGTGAACTCATTTCTCAATCCCAAGATGCCCATATTCCTCATTAGATCATCTAATTTTTTTTTTTTGAGATGGAGTCTCACTCTGTTGCCCAGGCTGGGGGGGGGGGGTGCAGTGGTACGATCTCCACTCACTGTAATCTCCACCTCCCGAGTTCAAGTGATTCTGCTACCTCAGCCTCCTGAGTAGCTGGGATTATAGGCACACGCCACCACATCCAGCTAATTTTATACTATGGAGAGTTTATAAGGAGAGTTCCAAACTTATAACTGAAGTAGATGTAAGTTATAAACCTCAAATGTGCCCATCGCTGACCTTCAATTATCATCAACTCAATTCATGACCAATCTTGCTTCATCTATACTCCTATCCATTTTTTTTCCTTTGTTTTATTGAGGAAAATCCTAGGTGTTCTATTTTATTTGTAAATATTTTAGTATTTCTAAAATATAATGATTTTAATATGTCATTATCACACTTAAAAATTAGTATTTCTTTAATATTTAACATCTAGTAAGCACTAACATTTCCAATTATCTCATAAACCTCATATTTAAAAAAATTACATTAATTTTTTTTTTTTTTTTTTTTTGAGACGGAGTCTTGCTCTGTCACCAGGCTGGAGTGCAGTGGTGCAATCTCACTGCAACCTCCAACCCCCGGGTTCAAGCAATTCTTCCACCTCAGCCTCCTGAGTAGCTGGGACCACAGTCACGTGCCACCACACCCGGCTAATTTTTGTATTTTTAGTAGAGACAGGGTTTCACCATGTTGGCCAGGATGGTCTCGATCTCTTGACTTCGAGATCCATCCCCCTCAGCCTCCCAAAGTGCTGGGATTACAGGCATGAGCCACCACGCCCGGCATAAATTTTTTTTTTTTTTTGGTAGAGACAAGGTCTTGTTATATTGGTCTGTCTTAAACTCCTGACCTCAAGTGATCCTCCTGCTTCAGCCTCCCAAATTGCTGGGGATTACAGGTGTTAGTCACTGTGCCTGGCCTCATACTTTTGAAACATATAAAATAATACTATATATTGTTTAGGGATAAACATAGATAGTAAATATAGAAAGAAGTGCATGGAACTAACAAGCACCAAATTCAGCCTTGTAGTAAGTTCCATGGGAGACAGAATAGAGAACATCATGAGGGAGGGTTTGCAAGAAGTTTTAAGTGTATTTTTTTTTTTTAAAGCTGGGTGGTAGATACATGGGGGTATATTATATTACACGTTGTAATTCCTTATATGTGGAAATATTTCATAATAAAATTTTTATTAATTGCAATCTTTAAAAATATGTTACACTCTTGCTTTAAAGCCTCTATTAGCTCTCTGATATTTTGAAGTTAACATCCAAACTCTAGCTTGGTATAAAGGCCCTTCAATGTCTGGCTATAACCTTCTTTTCCAATCCCAGTTCCTACCAATGCCCTCTGCTTCAAGGTTCATATCTAATTCCACTTCTGCTAGAAAGTCAAAATGAAGTACAAAAAAGTTAAGAGGTATGTAAAAAGCCTGTAGGACATACTTAAGTATAACTCTCTTATTTTAGGGAGAAAGTAATACACAATAGAAAAGATTTAAACATTGGGGTAGAGATAAATTTTTAAAACCTTCTAAAACAAATGTTACCCTCATTTCTTCTTTGTTGGAATATTTCACAGAATGGCATTTTTACATTTCATAGAGAGGAACAAGAAATAAGAAATTCAGTATCTTAAATTTGGATATAAATTGCTTAAATGCAGAAGGAAGATACGGCACTTGAGTGACTTCTATCTCCAGAATTATTTTTATTTGTTAATACAGAACTCATCTGAGCCACTCAACAACAGGACAAAAAGTAGATCAGGAGTCAGACAATCCAGGTTGAAATCTTGGCTCTATTGCTTCTAGTTGTGGGAAAAGCTCAGAAGTTAATAGGCTTAATTGAGAAAGCATTGATACACACAAAGTAGCAGAGGAGAGCAAAGCTCAATCTCCTCACTCCTACAGCACTGATTTTAAATACCAAAATACCACAATGGCTCAAAGATCTGAGAACATTTTACCCCATAATTTGCATGACCATTATTCTTTCTAATATAAAATGATGTCTCATGCTCAATAACTTACCATGTTTAGTAATTCGGGGCCCTTGACAGATATAAAATTTAGTCCAGACTCATTCGCAACAGCCTAGCGAGAGGAAACAGGACACAAATAAGGCAAATACACAATAAGATAATAATAATAATAATAATAATGATGTGTGACAATGCAAGGACTTTCTGTGGTCTTAAGTCTGCATCTCCCTTTTTATATTAATAGTTACCTCTTTCTAATTAGTGGCTCAAGCCTATAATCCCAACACTTTGGGAGGCCAAGGTAGGTGGATCATCTGAGGTCAGGAGTTCGAGATCAGCCTGATCAATGTGGCGAAAGCCCATCTCTACTAAAAATACAAAAATTAGCTGGGTGTGGTGGCGTGAGCCTACAGTCTCAGCTGCTTGGGAGGCTGACACAGAAGAACTGCTTGTACCCAGGAGGCAGAGGTTGCAGTGAGCCCAGACTGCATGCACCACTGCACTCCAGCCTGGGCGACAGAGCACGACTCTGTCTCAAAAAAAAAAAAAAAAAAAAGGGAAAAAGACAAATAAATGGGAAAGGGGGAATGGATAAAGAGAAAAATCAAAGGAAATGTTAACCTACAACTTTTTAAAAAAATTTCACGTTTAATTTTTTTTTTTAGACAGAGTCTTGCCATTTCCCAGGCTGGAGTGCAGTAGTGAGGTCACAGCACACTGCAGTCTAAACCTCCCAGGTTTAGGCAATCTTCTTACCTCAGCCTTCTGAGGAGCCAGGACTACGGGAGTATGCCACCACACTCAGCTAATTTTTGTATTTTTTTGGTGGAGGCAGGGTTTTGTCACATTGCCCAGGTCGAACCCGATGACTTTCTAAGAATTACTAAGGTTACAAATCAATGGAAATGACACAAATATTTATGTGAACATTTGTTTACATAAACATGCTTATGTAAATACATTTATAGTCCTAGTTTGGCATTCCAGTGAAATACTAGTCTCTGTACTCAAGAAATACCTCATGGGATGAAAGTAATCATTCATTCGTTTACAAACGAAAAATTAAAGACATCAGTATCAGGCTGTATAGTTGTATGTGTAGGAGAGTCTAAGAATTACAATCTGAATGCAGAGGTGAAACCTGAATAAAATCAATTAGAACTTCAAAATAATCAGGGAAGAGTTCTTTCCCACTCTTAGAACCTGGTATTTGAGCTCCCGATCTGTTCCACTTATTCCACAGCATCACCACTTGGATTACACAAGCATTTCAAACCTATCACTTCCAAAACTGGACTCCTGATTCTTACTATCCCAACCCTCTCCAACCCCCAACCTCTGCCTCCCAGGCTCAAGCAATTCTCCCAGCTCAGCCTCCCAAGTTGCTGGGACTACAGGTGCACACCACTATGCCCGGCTAATTTTTGTATTCTTTGTAGTGATGAAATTTTGCCATGTTGCTCAAGCTGGTCTTGAACTCCTAAGCTCAGTCATCTGCCCACCTTGGCCTCCCAAAGTGCTGGCATTACAGGCATGAGCCACCGTGCCCCGGCCTCTGTTCTCCTTTCACTCTTGCTTTCTTCCAATCCATTTTCCATATAACAAACAGTCAGAAGACTCTTTCAAAAGTGCAAATGGCATGAGCACCGCTCACTACAGCCTCTGCCTTCCGGGTCCCAGTTCAAGCTATTCTCCTGCCTCAGCCTCCCTAGGAGCTGGGATCACGGGCGTGTGCCACCACGCCCAGCTAATTTTTGTATTTTTAGTACAGACGGGGTTTCACCATGTTGGCCACGCTGGTCTCGAACTCCTGACCTCAGGTGGTCCACCCGCCTCAGCTTCCCAAAGTGCTGGGATTATAGGTGTGAGTCACCGCACCCCGCCCAATTTTATTGTTTTACGTTCACTTATTTACTGCTGGCCTCTTGCAGATAGTAAATTCCACTACAGTATGTATCTTGTTCACTAATTTATCCCTAGCACTTCAATTTCTGGCAAAGAATCTTGTGCTTAGTGTCACGAGCTCTGTTTCCATGCTATATACTGGTTCTAGATGAGTAAATGATTTCTACTATATTATTTTCAGTTTCATTCTTATCCATCAACAGTTTTCAGTTTGTTGGCTCCAGTAACTTCATGCCCTGACTTTATGCTAGTTACATACTTAGTATGTGCAGGTGCCAAGAAAAATTGTATTATTTTGTTATCCTGAGTAAACAAAACAATCAAGATCAGCCAAATACCTAATTTTATATGCAACTCTAGGTCTCAAGGTTCTGACCTACGAGTTGTCGCTTAACTTTACTTTAGGTCACACCTTGCACCTGCCATTCAAGGACATTTCTATTTCTGGATTCTTGGGCATGTAGTCTTGCACCCCTTGGAGAACCTGATGAAAGATGTTGTGAACACTCTTCCCCAGAAACAATACATATATACACAATACATTGCCTGGGCTCATAGATCCAGTGAAACTGTAAAATCCAACCGTGGAGTCCTAGGTAAGAGTCCCTGCTCCCACAGATCAGATAAAAGAAACCTGACTAAACAGAGTGGTCCTCAATTGTTGGCAGTTCAGTAGCGGGGAGAAGAGGAGAAATGTGGATCTATGATGTTTTAGTACTATATATGCTTTTCAAGTTGTCCAAGCTACCTCCTTTCTGCTGTGAACAGGACTACTCAAAGGCAGGTGGATCACGAGGTCAAGAGATCGAGACCATCCTGGTCAACATGGTGAAACCCCGTCTCTACTAAAAATACAAAAAATTAGCTGGGCATGGTGGTGCGTGCCTGTAATCCCAGCTACTCAGGAGGTTGAGTCAGGAGAATTGCCTGAACCCAGGAGGCGGAGGTTGCGGTGAGCCGAGATCGCACCATTGCACTCCAGCCTGGGTAACAAGAGCGAAACTCTGTCTCAAAAAAAAAAATATATATATATATATATATATTGATATGTAGAAAAAGAAAAAAATATTGATATGTATCAATATATACTGACATGTGAAGATGTTCAGGAAATATAGCTAAGTGAGAAAAATATGTCTAAAAAGCTTATATTTGTAATAAGGAATGTACAAGTTACTTTGTACAATTTCTTTGATATGTATGCACAGAAAAATATCAGAGAGATTGACAATGAAATGAAACAATGGTTAGTAGCAGGTAGTAGTGAGAGAATTATATACAATGCTTTTCCTTTTTGCTTATTATTATTTTCTATTATGAAAAAACAATTTTAGAAAATAATTATAAGAAATATAGACGAAAATATTTAAGTTGTAAACAATAACAATACCAAAGCAGGAAACCAAGTCAGGTAAGAACTAAAACTATGAAATACTACTCACTAAAATGCCAAAATATAATACACAGAAAGTATAATAATTGCTATGTTAAAATTGATGGGATTATGGTTGATCTAAACATTTTTCTTTCTTTCTTTTTTTTTTTTGAGACAGTCTTGCTCTGTCACCCAGGCTGGAGTGCAATGGCGCCATCTTGGCTCACTGCAACCTCTGCCTCCCAGGTTTAAGCAATTCTGCCTCAGCCTCCTGAGTAGCTGGGACTATAGGCGCACCACCATGCCCAGCTAATTTTTTGTGTTTTTGTAGAGACAGGGTTTCACTATGTTACCCAGGATGGTCTTGATCTCCTCACCTCGTGATCTGCCCTCCTTGGCCTCCCAAAGTGCTGGGAATACAGGCCTGAGCCACTGTGCCCGGCCAATCTAAACATTTTTCAATCATGTGCCTTTGTAATTTAAAAAAGTAGGAAACTTTCATGAAGAAAGTTGTTACTTTTGCTAAAATGAACCTCTAATAAAAATCATGCATAAGATTTATTTCACTGTAATATTTAAAGTTATATTCATATTATCCATCTGATAGTAACAAATTACATGCAATTGAACTCATATCATACCTTTGCCAGCAGAGTCTTCCCACAGCCAGGAGGACCAGCAAGGAGCACCCCAGCCGGAGTCACCAATCCAAGAGCTTTGAACTGGTCTGGGTTGCGTACTGGTGCCTAGAAAGAATGACATCAGAACAGATATGGCAATCCACTACATGTCCACTTTATACTGCAGGTTCATATGATCTCTAGATATATATTTTCTCTCTTTTTTTAGTCTCCTTCTGTCACCCAGGCTGGAGTACAGTGGTGCTATCTCAGCTCACTGCAACTTCTGCTTCCTGGGTTCAAGCAAACCTCCCATCTCAGTGTCCTGAGTAAGTAGGACTACTGGCACATGCCACCATGCCCAGCTAATTTTTATATTTTTGGTAGAGACAGGGTTTCACCATGTTGGCCAGGCTAGTCTTGAACTCCTGACCTCAGGTGATCCACTTGCCTCAGCCTCCCAAAGTGCTGGAATTACAGGCACGAGCCACTGCGTGCAGCCTCTCAGGCATATTTTTAACATGACTGTGAGGCCTGAAGATGTAAAGAGTACCTGGTTTACCTGTTCATGCTCTGTGGTGATAAAAAGAAAAGTCCTTGCGCTTGAGGAATTTATACTTAAACGTAACATCTAAGAACAGCTTAGACATAACGATATAATATTTCAACAGATTTTTTAGAAAATCATTTAAATTTATATGTTATAAAATGTTTAGGCAATGGTCTCTAAGAAATGAGATGCAGCAGTAACTTTCGCATAGTTAAAAGCCAAATACCTGTTCACTATAATTCCAGCATATTTTTTATTTCAGTAGTACATACCTCTAAATCCATCATATTTCAATTAATGAACCATGAATGATTAGTAGAAAAGTAAAGTGAGTAAAAATTGGCCAGGCATAGTGGCTCATGCCTGTAATCCTAGCACTTTGGGACGCTGAGGTGGGCGGATTGCCTGAGCTCAGGAGTTCGAGACTAGCCTGGGCAACACGGTGAAACCTCATCTCTACTAATACAAAAAATTAGCTGAGCGTGGCAGTGTGCACCTGTAATCCCAGCTACTTGGGAGGCTGAGGCAGGAGAATCACTTGAACTTGGGAGGCGGAGGTTGCAGTGAGCCAAGATGGTGCCACTGCACTCCAGCCTGGGTGACACAGCGAGACTCTGCCTACCCTCACCCAAAAAAAAAGTCAATAAAAATTAATCCAAAGTTTCATGTGCATTAAAACTGCCTTGACCCATAACAGTATTATCAAGTTCAGAAAGTCTTTGTCAAACAATTTGGTCTTGATTGAAAGCATAAGTTTTTTGTTGTTGTTTAAACTCACTGCTATAGAAATGACGCACAACCAAAAGGATCAGCATAAAATAGGTCTCAACGAAATATTATTCAGCCACAAAAATAAATCAAATCCTGTCATTTGCAGCCACATGGATGGAACTAGAGGTCATCATGTTACTGAAATAAACCAGGTACAGAAAGGCAAATATTGCACATTCTTACTCATAGCGGGAGCTAATAAAGTGGACCTCATGGGGATGGAGAGCAGATTGATGGTTACCAGCGGCTGGGAACGGAAAGCAGAGAGGAAGGAGTATGATAAAGAGAAGTTGGTTAAAGGGGTAAAAAAACACAGGCTGGGCAAGATGGCTCACACCTGTAATCCCAGCACTTTGGGAAGCCAAGGCAGGTGGATCAAGACCATCCTGGCCAACATGGTGAAACCCCGTCTTAACTAAAATATAAAAAAAAATTAGCCAGGCATGGTAGCACGTGCCTGTTGCCCAGTTACTCGAGAGGCTGAGGCAGGGGAATTGCTTGAACCCAGGAGGTAAAGGCTGTAGTGAGCCCAGATGGCACCACTGCACTCCAGCCTGGCGACAGTGTGAGACTCCTTCTCAAAACACACACACACACACACACACACACACACACACACACACACAGAGTTAGGTATTAGGTTGCTAGGTAGGGGCAATAAGTTCTGGTATTTGATAGCACAGTAGGGAAATAATATTTCAAAACAGTTAAAAGAAAAAAGCGTATTTCAAAATAGCTAGCAGAAAAAAGTATATTTCAAAATAGCTAGAAGAATAAAAGTGTAATATTCACAACACAAAAAAAACATAAACATTTGAGGTGACAAATATCCCAATTACTCTGACTTCATTGTTACCCATTTAATACATGTATCAAAATACCATATGTACCCCGAAAATATTTACAACTATGATACATCAATTAAAAAAAATGAACAAATAAATTGGATCTCAAACAAAAGAAAAACCATTGTGGGGGCACTTGAAAAAAGTGTTATATTCAAGTCAGTTTAGACACAGTGGCTATATTCAAGTCAGTTTAGACATAGAACCTAGTACACATGCATGGAGCTTTATCTGTGGTCCTTAATCCATGACATGCCAATAATATTTGGCAGCTGATATACCTACCAATATTGCCATGGTGAGCTCCTCTCTAATGTCTTCCAGGGCACCAATATCTGCCCATGTCACATTAGGGACAGTGACAAAGCCTTCCCTTTTGGCAGAGGGTTGGACTGAGGATAGAGCAACAATGAAATCATTCAGTTCAATGCACAGTCCTTGCATCTGCTCCTCTGAGAGGGGATCTTGGTCTCTTAGCAACCCCAGCAGCCTTTGTAATTCATCCTTGAAGGGAACAATTGAGGGGGAAAAAAATAAAAAACCACCACAACAGTTATTGAAAAGTTACATTTTCTACTTGTTAAAATTATTACCGCAATATTTCTATAATCTATCCTGAACTTCTATGTATTTCAATAATTTTCTCTTTGACATGAGACATGTTCATTTTACTCCAAAGGATCATATGCTCTGGTCAAGTAAAGATATACCAATTATAATTAAATATATAAGAATGATTTCTCTATACTATTTTTAGGGCTAAGTATAGCAAATATAAGCAGTTGGCAAATATTCATTTCAGCAACCATGATATTTCCCATGTTTCATTTATAAATATTCAATAAAATTCATCAGCTGAATTCTGATGAAATTAAAACAAAGTTATGTTGGAGGTAGTATAATTCATTAATATGGTTCCTTGATAGTTTATCAACTAAGTAGAGACAAGGCAGTTTTCCTATTACTATCAAATCTTAAACTTATAAGGCAGATATCTTGCTTTGTGAAGAACATGAAAAGACAAGTCTAAAAAACAGGTAATCAATTAATTCAACTTGTAAAATATTAATTTATATGCAATATTTTTTTTTAATGAAATATGATGGTTTTATATTCCATGCAATATTAGAAATGAGTTTGTTATATTTTATGGAAGTAATTGCAGTTTCAAATGACTAAGAAAAAAACAAATTATCTGAGAACAAAAGATCTGTATTTAAGCTCCTGCTCTAAAAAGGAGAGGTTGTATGGCCTTGAGCAAACTACAATCTCTCTCTTAAGCTTAGTGTCTTTGATTATAAAATGGGGAAAATAATGGTATTTATATAAGGTCACAGGGATCAAATTATATAACACAGAAGCCATCTGTGCAAGCTATAAAATGCTATACATAATTGAGTTTTCATGACTCACAAAATTAAAAAATTTAATACTGATCTTAGACTGATAAATGTCCCCTCTCATTCACATGACTGTCCTCCAGAGCTATCTGCAACTAAGATAAGACCTGGATATTGTTGTGTCAACAGACCATCGTAATCTACCTAACCAAAAGCTAACCAGGAGATATAATTAAATGCCAATGCCAAAACAGGGGTTGACAATCTTTTTCTGTAAAGGACAAGACCGTAAACACTGTAGTCTTTGTGGGCCACGGTCTCTGCTGCAGACTCTTGTGTGAATTCTGCCATGAAATGAAAGCAGAAACAGACAAGTATACAAATGAACATGGCTGTGTTCCAATATAACTTTAATCTACAAAAACAGGTGGTGGGTGGGTAGGCCACAGTCTGCCAACCCCATTCCAGAATTTCATAATCATTATTGTAAAATAAATTTATTCAGAATAAACTAAACATAAAACAACTCGCATTTCTGAAATTATATATATTGTGGGTATAACTGATAATTATTTTATAGATTGAATGCCAATAAAACAGGAAATAATAAACCTCAACTATATTGACCCCTGCTTCAATGTAAGATAACACAAAGAACATTAAAAGGACAGCTTAAGGTGCCTTTAGAGAAAACACCTGTGTTTCAGAAGCGGGCTCAGTTCCCAGCCTTTCCTCCTGGACTCCTTTAGATGGCAAATCTTCCATTTCAGGATCTTTCTTCTGCTGTTCCTGTAGCTTCATTAAGACTCTATTGACTGCACACATTGCTGCCTCTCGGCACAGTGCCATCAGATCAGCACCAACAAAGCCTGGAGTTAGGTGTGCTAAGTTACAGAAATCAAAAGCTTGAGGAAGCCTCAGTTTTCTGCACAATGTTTGAAGTATTCTGCAGAAAAGACAGAGAAAAAAATTTCAGATTCTTAATCTAATACTAAAAACAAGTCACCAAATATATTTATTTGAAGTCCTTCACCTCTGCCAATGATATTAAAATGGATACTATACAAGAACAAATAGTTCATTCACTCAACAAATGCTAAGTCATTATTACATGCCCTATCTTATTCCAGAAAGGGTCATGGTAAATATCTGCTTTGTTAGGAGCCATACTAAGTGCCGTGAGGAATACATAGAATTTTAAAAAAATATTTTGCCTTTAAGTATTTACAACATTACAGGGGAAATGAGGTAAATAACTTATGAGCGTACTTTTAGAGTAGATTAAATGGATATCTACCAGAAATAAAAGCCCCCACATTGACACAAACCATTAATTCTCTTCATCATTGAAAATTATCTTGCCATATACTTCCTATTTTATATTAGGACAGTTACTTCTCCAAATTTATCTTTACCTATTGTTCATCCCCTGTACTATACATGTGAAAAATTTTGTTCAACCTAACTGGCAACATGGTATCTATAAAAATCTGGACTTCTAGATAATTGTTATTAAAGGAATACCTTGAACAATTTCTGATAAGACCTACTAAATTAAAACTTAAAAGCAGTAAAGATATTCAGGATGAAGCCAGGTGTGGTAGCTTATAGCGACAATCCCAGCACTTTGGGAGGCTGAGGCAGGCAGATCACCTGAGGTCAAGAGTTTGAGATCAGCCTGGCCAACCAGGCAAAACCCCATCTCAACTAAACATACAAAAATTAGCTGGGCATGGTGGTGGGCACTCGTAATCCCAGCTATATGGGAGACAGAGGTTGCCGTGAGCCAAGATTGTGCCACTGCATTCCAGCCTGGGTGACAGAGCAAGACTCCATCTGGAAAAAAAAAAAAAAAAAAATAGATATTCAGGATGAAAGGTCTGAAGCCAAACTGCAAAAGTTTGAATACCGGCTCTATTACCCTTTGTAATCTGGGCCAGTTACTTAATCTTTGTGCTTCAGTTTCTTCATTTAGTAAATCTATATTATAGTAGCACTTATTCAGAGGGTTATTGCTAAAAATGAATACATGCAAAGCACATAAAACAGTGGCTGATCCATAGTTACTGCCCAATGAATGTTAATTCTTATTTACATATTTTGATATTATAAACTAACTTGGACAAACAAACGTATTTTGAAATTAATAAATTTGTAAAGAACACTAATATTTTCAAATGTCAAGCTAATAAAGAATAAATGATAGAAAAATCATTTGGGACCATGTAAGTGAGTGAGCAGAATAGAAGCAGATAAACATTACTGACAATTTTTTAAAAATTTCACTTTGATACTCTGAATAATGGGAATTAAGAAAACTTCACTAAAGAACTATTTCCAAAAGACACACACAATTTGCTACTACGCAAATTTAGACAGGGTTTTGCCATGTTCACCAGGCTGGTCTCAAACTCATGACTTCAGGTGATGCGCCCACCTCAGCCTCCCAACGTGCTAGGACTATAGGTGGTGAGCCACTGCATATGGTCTAATATTTCACAACATTTCTTAACTAGATTTCTACTCTACCGCCTCAACAGTGCGGTAGACAGTCTTGCTTATGAAGTTATATTTCGGGTTATTGGTGGATGTTTATTTGCTCTACGGACATTACTCATTTGCTCAATTACTAGGAAAGGCTGGTGCTGCAGCAAACAGCTTTCAACTTTCTGGCTGCCATTTCATTACTGGTCACAGAACCTGTGGTCTCAGGCAGGTTAGTGCAATATGCAATAAGGGTACTCAGATTTTTTTTTTCTTTCTGCAAGTCTGACTGTCCACACCATAGTACTCACATTTAACCTATATGTGGACCAGGTGGCACTGCTGTATTCCATAGCTCCAGACATTGCTGCTAACCTGGTCAGCCAACTAAAGAAAGCAATCCGTTGTTAATTCAGACCAGACAAATGAGTATGGATACCTAAGTCCATTATTGCTTCTGAAAAAACAACCCAAAAAAATTATCCTACTGATGAGTAAATTGTTTCCTTCTTTTTTACAGAGGTGGGGCCTACCTCTGTCACCCAGGTTGGAGCGCAGCGGTACAATCATAGCTTACCGTAGCCTCGAACTCGTGGGCTTAAGCAATCCTCCTGTGCTTCAGCCTCCTAAGTAGTTGGACTATAGGTGTGTACCCAGCTAATTTTATTTTCTGTAGAGACAGGGTAGCGCTATGTTCCCCAGGCTCAAACTCCTGGCCTCAAATGATCCTCCTGCCTTGGCCTCCCAAAGTGTTGGGACTACAGGCATGAGCCACTGCACCTAGGCATAAATGGCTTTTTTTTTTTTTTTTTTGAGACAGAGTCTCACCCTGTCACCCAGGCTGGAGTGAATTGGCACAATCTCAGCTCACTGCAACCTCTGCCTCCCGGGTTCAAGCAATTCTCTTCCTCAGCCTCCTGAGTAGCTGGGATTGCAGGTGTGCACCACCAAGCCCTGCTAATTTTTGTATTTTTTAGTAGAGACGGGGTTTCACCATCTTGGCCAGGCTTAAATGGTCTTGAACTCCTGGCCTCAAGATCCACCTGCCTCAGCCTCCCAAAGTGCTGGGATTATAGGTGTGAGCCACTGCACCCGGTCATAAGTGGTTTTCTTAATGTGGGCTTCTCCTTTTTCAAATCAGTTTAACTGGCACAAAAAGAAAGAAAATGGGAGAGAAAGAAAAGGCTACATGGTATTTCTTACTTTCAAAGCATTCAGTTAAGATGACTTAGTGGTATACAAACTTCATGCTATAATATACCTTTCCCTGGATGCTTCATCTGGGATACCTAGGCATATTTCTCGGTCGAACCTTCCAGCACGTCTCAAAGCAGGGTCTAATGAGTCTGGTCGATTAGTAGCTCCAATAACTAGGACCTGGGCTGTAGCAGCCACATTATTCAGATCTAGTAAGAGATAGAGAAGGAGTGGTGAACAAAGTACTTGATATGGAGGGCAATAATGCTTTCAGACATCATTTCATGGTTAAAGAGAAGGTATCACAGATTTTGACAGCAACATACATATAAAACCAATATTTATTAAATGTCAAATATGTAACAGGTGTGAGGAGGATAAATAAAATACAAACTCTGTCCTCAACAGTTCACAATCTATTGAGAAACACCGAGTGTGTAAATAAAAAAATGGCATAGGACACAGTTTGTGAAGTATAATAACAGATGTAAGAAAAGACATGATGAATTCCAACTGAGGAATAAGGGAGGGTCCATGGAAGTGGTAACATTTCAGAAAGGGCTTGAAGTGTAAACAGAATTTTAATAAGCAGATATACAGGTTAGTGGAATTCTACGTAGAAGAAAGAGATCAGTAAAAGCACAGAGGGTCAAGCATGCATGGCACATCCAGGCAAGGTGAGCAGGACAACAACAGGAAGGCTGGGAGGATGCAGGAGTCTGTGTCTCAGAACGGACTGATAAAACTTTTAATTCGAGCAGGGGAATACAAAAGAGTCTTCAGCTGTTCTGGCTTAACCTAGGGATGCATTTCTAGGAATGGGCAAAACTGAGGGCTTAAATCTTATCTTTCTTAAGTATTATTTCTCTCAACTGAACCAGGACTGAACAGCAAGGAGTCTGAGGTTATTCTATCTCACAGGTAACAAGAAGGTAGTAAGATGCTAATTAAATCATGAGGAGTTTATACAGTGTGTCCTTTAGCCAGTAGGGAGCCATAAAAGCTTTTCTCATAATACAGGCCTAAGAGACATGGTAAGAAAATTTTAGATAAAAATAAAACAGAATCCCAGCACTTTGGGAGGCTGAGCAGAAAGATCGCTTGAGCCCAGGAGTTTGAGACAAGCCTGGGCAACATAGCGAGATCCTGTCTTTAAAAAAAAAAAACAAAAACAAACGAACAAAAGATCCTGGGCATAGTGGCTCATGCCTGTGATCCCAGCACTTTGGAAGGCTGACGGCGGTGGATCACCTGAGGCTAGGAGTTTGAGACCAGCCTGGCCAACATGACAAATCCCTGTCTCTACTAAAAATATAAAAATTAGCCAGGTGTAGTGGCATGCACCTATAATCCCAGCTACTTGGGAGGTGAAGCAGGAGAATCATTTGAACCCAGCAGACGGAGGTTGCAGCGAGGTGAGATCATGCCATTGCACTCCAGCCTAGGTGACAGAGTGAGACTCTGTCTCAAAGAAAAAAAAAAATGCCAGGCATGGTGGTGCACACTTGGGGTCCCAACTACTTGGGAGGCTTACATGGGAGGATAACTTGAGCCCAGGAGGTCAAGGCTGCAGTGAGATATGATTATGTCACTGCATTCCAGCCTGGGTGACAGAGCAACACTCTATCTCATCAATCAATCCATCAATCAACCAAGCAATCAGAAGAAGCAACCTACAACCTGGTAATGCAAAAACATAAAATATGTACTTAAATTTTCTTGTGTACACAAAATATGTGCTATTTCTTTTTATTTATTTTTAGAGGTGGGGTGTTGCCATGTTGCCCAGGATGGCCTCAAACTACTAGGCTCAAGCAATCCTCCTCCTTTAGCCTCCTGAAGTGTTGGGATTATAGGTGTGAGCCACTGTGCCCAGTATGACTTTTTTTTTTTCCACACTATTTGATATTTACTATTTGAATATTTTATATCTTTATGTATTAATTATACTATTTTAAAACATTTATTATCTTAAAATGAATTCATTATTTTAAACTGACCATCCATGCAGGTTAGGAGTTGGGCTACAATTCTTCGTTCCATATCTTTTGAAGCAACTTCTCTTTTGGGTGTGATAGCATCAATTTCATCAATGAAAATGATACATGGTGCATTTGACTGGAAATAAAAATATCACATAAAGACAACCATAAATACATCACCTATACTAAAGCACAGTTAAGCATATACATTTTTTGGAAAATCTTAAAGTTCAAGGATCATTTGCCAAAAGAATAACCCTAAAGAAGGCAGTTCACATGTATTACTTCTGATTTTTATCTGACTTAAAAGAACCAAGATGCTTAAAAGTACATAGTAGAGACTGCTGAGAGGGCAACACACTTATAGTGTCTTCATCAATGCATGTTTTGTGATAAATCTACTGAAATTCTTTTGTAAATTAGTCACATTTGCTATGCTATGAAATAGAAACAATGATTTTGAATAAGCATATGCACAAAAAAAATTAAAAACAAGTTTATAAACTTTAAATTAGCAAACCCAAGCTTACGAGAAACGTTAGGAGGGTTTCTACCAACATAAAAATTTCCAAGTCTTTCTCCATGATTTGCTATAAGAGGAAATTTGAGAAGGACCAGAAGCTTTTTAAAAAATGTGTGGTAAAATATACACAAAATTTACCATTCTAACCACTTTGGGTATATAGTTTAGTCGCATTAAATACTTTCAGACTGTTGTGTAAACGTTACCACTATCCATCTCCAGAACTTTCTCAGCATCCACACTGAAAAGTACCAGAAGCTTATTTTAAAGACTACGTTGAATAAAGAAAGGATGGTAAAGTTCTAATACATCAGTGTAATGATCACCTCCAGTTTTGTTTTGTTTTTAAGAAATAAACTAGATAGCGTTCAGAAAGAATAAATTAAGATGTAACAATCAGCTACCAAGAGTGGTCAAATTCATTGAGACAAAAAGTAGAATGGTGGTGGTGACCAGGGACTGGTGGGAGAGATGAATGGGGAGTTACTGTTTGGGAACCTGAAGACGCTCTGGAAATGGATGGCGGTAATGATTACACAACAATGTGAATGTACTTAATGCCACAGAATTGTACACTTAGAAATGTTAAAATGGCCTTTTCAGCTGGAACTGCCATCTTCCAGTAATTCACCAAAATGATGAACACAAAGGGAAAGAGGAGAGGCACCTGATATTCTCTAGGTCTTTCAGAAAACACAGAGCTGTTCCTTTGGCTATATATATGCGAATCTATAAGAAATGAGATATTGTAGGCTGGGCGCCGTGGCTCACGCCTGTAATCCCAGCATTTTGGGAGGCCATGGAGGGTGGATCACCAGAGGTCAGGAGCTCAAGACCAGCCTGGCCAACGTGGAGAAACCCTGTCTCTACTAAACATATAAAAATTGGCTGTATGTGGTGGTACATGTCTGTAATTCCAGCTACTAGGGAGGCTGAGGCAGAAGAATAATTTGAACCAAGAAGGCAGAGGTTGCAGTGAGCTGAGATCATGCCACTGCACTCCACCAAGATTGTGCCAATGCACTTCAGCCTGGGCAACAGAATGAGAGTCTGTCAAAAAGAAAGGAAGGAAGAAAGAAAGGGAGGGAGGGAGGGAAAGGAAGGAAGGGAGGAACGGAGGGAGGTAGGAAGGGAGGGAGGGAAAGGAAGGAAGGGAAGGAAAGGAAGGATGGGAGGGAGGGAGGGAAAGGAAGTAAGGGAAGGAAAGGGAGGAAGGGAAGAAGGGAGGGAGGGAGGGAGGGAGGGAGGGAGGAAGGAAGGAAGGAAGGAAGGAAAAAATGAAGGAAGGAAGGAAGGAAGGAAGGAGGGAGATATGGTAGACATCAAGGGAATGGGTACTGTTCAAAAAGGAATGCCCCACTAGTGTTACCACTGCAAAACACAAGAGTCTATAATATTACCCAAGATGCTGCTGGCATTGTTGTAAAGAAACAAGTTAAGGGCAAGATTCTTGTCAAGAGAATCAGTGTGTGTACTGAGCACATTAAGCACTCTAAGAGCAGAGATAGCTTTCTGAAACGTGTGAAGGAAAATGATCAGAGAAAGGAAACCAAGGGGAAAGCGCCAGCTTGCTCTACCCAGAGAAGTGCACTCTGTGAGAAGCAATAGGAAGGAGCCTGAGCTGCTGGATCCTCTTCCCTATGAATTCATGGTATAACAGGTGTTAAAAAATAAAAGACCTCTGGACTGTAAAAATGTTTCTTTTCATTGAATAGAAGTGTAGTGTCCTCTTCCCCAAAGAAACGTTTAAAACAAATTTAAATTGTGTCCTAATTCATTGTGTAGTGCCTTTACTATTCAAATTTAATGTATTTCTTGCTGAAAGATGTGAGGTGGCTTATTGTGCAACAAATTACTCAACTGGTTAGAAAACTGCCAGGTATTATTTCTGAAATATCTGTATTGGTCCCTCTAAATCATCATGAAAGAAATGAAATAATTTACAAAAACTTAAAAAAATGGTAAATTCTGTTATATATATTTTACTACAAAAGAGATAAGGATCAGTTAAAATGAAAAAAATTGAAAAATATCTACATTCATAATCTAAATCACTTTACTCAATCAGTTACTCAATGGTTAGGAGTGACAGTGATTATGCTAAGTAAGGCTGTCAGCCTCGCTTAAGGCATCTCAAAACCATGGGAACCACCACATTTTAAAGGGAAAGATATTTAGCCTATCAGTAGCTGGCTCTCTTCCCTAATCATCCTTATGACAATGTTTGCAAAAGACGCCTATGACTGCTAGACACATAATCCAGTTAGAAAAGAGTAAAATTACAGAGACCAACAGTGTCAGAAAACAAGCACATCAGTACTTGTCAGTGACCTGGAAAGTTGAACGGGGGGAAAAAAATAAATGATGGTCATTGGAATGTGGCCTAAAGAAAGCACAGTTTTCAACAAAGTATCACTTGATTGGATTTCACCTTTTTGCTCTCTTTTCCACATGCTTTCCTGTACTCATTAGGGAAGAGAGAACCAGGAAAGGTGGGGTGCTAAGCCACATATTTACTGGGCAGCTACTGTGAGGTACTTTACTGGCCCAGTACTGGTTTAGTGAGAGCTTTAAACACAGAACCAACAACCTAAAGATGCCATTTGTCTGTTACCTTTACGGATCATTGTGTTTACCATACACACAAAATTTACTCCTTGTCTCTGGCTATGCATGCCAATTTAACAATGGAATCGACCAAGTTTTGGAAAACAGGTAGCACCTGAAAGAGTTTAGCTTTGTTTTCCACCCTGCCTTTCCACCCTTTTTCTCTTCATCCTCCTAGTGTTGCCCACACCTCTTTCTATGCCAGCCCATACTATAACCTAGTAGATGGACTACCTATTCTTGTTATTAAAAATTTTTTTTCTCAATTACTGCTTAAATTTCTCTTCTAATTTCACATAGGCTTCTAGCAGTTGTATCGGATATTCATCAGCTACTATATATTGTCAGTGCTAACAATGACATAAAATTAAACTTTTTACCATTTTTTAAACACAGTGGTGATATTTGCTCAAGTGTAAATAATTTACAGCTAATATTTACAGGGCTTGTGCTGTGTGCAGGGTACCATATCAAAGGTTTTATAAGAAGTCTCTCATTAGGCTGGGTGTGGTGGCTCACGCCTGTAATCCCACCACTTTGGGAGGCCGAGGCGGGTGGATCACAAGATCAAGAGATCGAGACCATCCTGGCCAACATGGTCAAACCCCGTCTCTACTAAAATACAAAAATTAGCTGGGCGTGGTGATGCGTGCCAGTAGTCCCAGCTACTTGGGAGGCTGAGGCAGGAGAACTGCTTGAACCCAGGAGGTGGAGGTTGCAGTGAGCCAAGATAACTGCAACCTAGCGACAGAGCAACTCTGTCTCAAAAAAAAAAAAAAAAAAAAAAAAAAAGAAGTCTCTCATTTAACACTCTCAGCCACATGAGATTTGGGTATTATTATTACCCTAATTTACTAGTAAGGAATGATAATTTATTCTGCCATTTTTATGGTTGCTTTTATAATATCCTAAATGATAATTTTTACATTGCTTACAAGTTTTTAGGCCAAACTTGAGGAAAGTAAAAGTGAGTGGAAAATATCATAAGGATAATATACTTTCAACATATGACTACAGGGTATGACAGCACAGAATTTCTAACCAATTAAATTTATGTTTGATTTTAAATGAAAAGGGTTACTTATCCAACAGCTGGTATCACTAAATCTACTTTGAATATTTAGCCATCATGCATAACAAATTACCATGTTTATTTAACAAAAGAATGGCTAGTGAGTGGGTTAACAAATACTAGCATCAGAAAAAGCAGGATCTTTAACATAAGCTGGGAGCGTCTGACCACCTGGCGTTAGTCATTAACTGACTCACCACAGCTTGCTCGAATAGTTCTCTCAGCTTCTGCTCAGACTCTCCGGATACTCCAGACACAATCTCTGGAGCAGCCACTTTCAAAATTGGCAGGTCAAGTTCCTATGCAGACACATAAAAGGATAACCAAATATTCAAATTTTAATTTTCCTACTTTTTCTTTATCCAGTCTCCTCAAATTTTTTAAATAGCTAGTTTCCAGAGGAACTTCATCTTTTTATGTTGGCCCAGTGAAAAACACTATTTAAAAATCAATGGTTTTGGCCGGGCGCAGTGGCTGACATCTGTAATCCCAGCACTTTGGGAGGCCAAGGTGGGTGGATCACCTGAGGTCAGGAGTTCAAGACCAGCCTGACCAACATGGAGAAACCCCGTTTCTACTAAAAATACAAAATTGGCCGGGTGTGGTGGTGCATGCCTGTAATCCCAGCTACATGGGAGGCTGAGGCAGGAAGCTATGGTGAGCCAAGATCACGCCATTGCACTCCAGCCTGAGCAACAAGGGTGAAACTCCGTTAAAAAAAAAAAAAAAATCAATGGTTTTATGCAAACACGTTTAAGTGGACACTATCATCTTTTTATTTTATACACATCACTATAAAATTCTATTATCTTTTCTGAATAAAGGCTCTTGACTCTCAAGAGATATATATGTCATCCCCCACTTAGGGCTGAGCCAAAGCAATTCTTTGTTTTGTTTTGTTGAGACTGTGTCTCACTATGTTGCCCAGGCTAGTCTAAAAATCCTAGCCTCAGGCAATCCTCCTACTTCAGCCTCCCAAAGTGCTGGGGTTATAGGAGTGAGCCACCATGCCTGGCCTATCAAAACAATTCTTACCCAACTGCTGAGGAGAAAATGGCAAGGGTTGTGACACAGATGTTTCCCATGCATCCTGCTAGTATTTCTCCAAATTCTAACCCAGAGAGTAGCCAGTTATTAGTCAGAGGAGGGAGACTCTTTAAGAAGAGAACAGGCGTGGAGGCCCCTGCCTGTAATCGCAGCACTTTGGGAGGTCCAGGTGGGAGGAGTGCTTACGTCCAGGAGTTTGAGACCAGCCTGGGCAACACAGTGAGACCCCATCTCTATAAAAAACAATAAATTAGCCGGGCATGCTAATGCATGCCTGCAGTCCCAGCTACTTGCAAGGCTGAGGCAGGAGAATCACCTGAGCCTGAGAGGTCGATGCTGCAGTGAGCTGTGATCATGCCACTGCACTCAGCCTAGGCAAGAGAATGAGAATCTGTCCAAAAAAAAAGAAGAGACACTACTGTTGTCCCATTCCCGTGCTTGAAATTTCACTTTCTCAACCGTATCTTCGTTGAATCCAACTCTAATTTGGGAATCCCAACATACCACATAGCATTTTGCACTTCTTGTATTGTCTTCCACTTATTACAGTTGTTACTATGTACAGCATTTGTTTATATCAATGACTGTTCAATGTCTCTCTCATATTAGAACTAGAATTGTCGTACTTAATACATATTCCAAAGTCTGGCATGCAGTGGCGATGTCATAGAATTACTCAACAAAAATGAAGCAAACCATTCAAGTCTCCCTTTACAAATGATTTTTTTTAATAGAACATTATTGTATTAGTGCTTGGTACAGCATGCTATTTTTCTTTCTTTCTTTCTTTTTTTTTTTTTTTGAGATGGAGTTTTGCTCTTGTTGCCCAGGCTGAAGTACAATGGTGCGATCTTGGCTCATGGCAAATTCTGCCTCCCAGGTTCAAGTGATTCTCCTGCCTCACCCTCCCAAGTAGTTGGGATTATAGGCATGCGCCACCACGCCTGGCTAATTTTGTATTTTTAGTAGAATGGGTTTCTTTATGTTGGTCAGGCTGGTGTCAAACTCCTGACCTCAGGTGATCTGCCTGCCTTGGCCTCCCAAAGTGCTGGGATTACAGACATGAGTCACCATGCCCGGCCAGCATGCTATTTTTCTAATTGAAGTTACTCAGATATTTTACATTACTGCCTAATACAGTTTCTGAAAAATCTGAGAGGGCTAAAATAAGATTGCTAACTTAATTTTACAAAATAAATATCTATTATTACCATTTTAGAAAGAATTATTTTAAAACTAAAAAGTATAAAAACATAACTCTAAATAGAAATTCTGAATAAATTTAGCTGTATGAAAAGTAATATAACCCTAGTTTTCTTATTTTACTGCTCTGAAGAACCACTGGGAGGGCAGGTGCAGTGGCCCATGCCTGTAATCCCAGCATTCTGGGAGACTGAGGAGGACTGCTTGAGGCCAGGAGTTTAAGACCAGCCTAGGCAACATAGGGGGATTCCGTCTCTACAAAAAAAAAAAAACACCCAAAAACATTAGCTGTGTGTGGTGGTGTGTTTGCAGTTCCACTACTTGGGAGGCTGAGGTGGAAGGACCACTTGAGCCTGGAAGGTTGATGCTGTAGTGAGCCATGATTGCACCACTGCACTCCAGCCTGGGCGACAGTGAAACTCTGTCTTAAAAAAATAAATAAAACAAAATAACTATTGGGCTAAAGGAAAAGCAAAGTAACTAAAATGTAACCTATGTGTTAATAAAAAGGTTTGTTTGAAACTGGGTTATTTTATTTTCTACCTAACTGTTGCCATATACAATTACATACATTAAAAATAAATTCCTCAAGTTGCTTGTGAGAAGCAAAAAATAAACTAAATGAATAAATGCCACAAAGAATACCAGCATGATAACAAAGGGATCAGTTCCAATGACTATATTCTCTTCCTGAAGAATGCCAGGTCTGGTTTAAGTTGACAAAAAAGAAAAAAACAAAAACAAATAATAACAACAAAAACAGCAAAAGCAAACAAGTGTCAGCAATCCTCACCCCAGCAATTGCATGTGCAAGTAACGTCTTTCCACAGCCTGGTGGCCCATGAAGGAGAACTCCACGAGGGGGCACGACGCCCAGGTGGTGGTACACCTCTGGGTGACGCATGTGAATGAGCATCTTGCAGACCTCCTGGCAGAGGATAAGCATAAAGACGTCTTTCAAAACAGAAGAATCAAAGTAGAATGAAATGTCCTATTTTTTGGAGCAGTGAAATGGAGTAGGTAGGGAGAATATATACTTTAGACTTAGAACAGAGTTTGAATCCTGGCTCTGGTACCTACTGTGTGATTTCAGCCCTAACCTCTCCAAGAAGCTTCTATTTCCTAAGCTGTGACATTATCTACCTTGAGGATGTAATGCAGAGTAACTAGCATGGCAGATGGAAAAGAGTAGGCATTAAAAATAAAGTTACTGGGCCGGGCGCGGTGGCTCAAGCCTGTAATCCCAGCACTTTGGGAGGCCAAGGCGGGTGGATCACGAGGTCAAGAGATCGAGATCAGGCCGGCGCGGTGGCTCAAGCCTGTAATCCCAGCACTTTGGGAGGCCGAGGTGGGTGGATCACGAGGTCAAGAGATCGAGACCATCCTGGTCAACATGGTGAAACCCCGTCTCTACTAAAAATACAAAAAATCAGCTGGGCATGGTGGCGCGTACCTGTAATCCCAGCTACTCAGGAGGTTGAGGCAGGAGAATCGCCTGAACCCAGGAGGCGGAGGTTGCGGTGAGCCGAGATCGCGCCATTGCACTCCAGCCTGGGTAACAAGAGCGAAACTCCGTCTCAAA